AATTAGGGTTTTTATTAAGCTGAAAGAACTTGGCAACACCTCTAGGTGCCCTTTAGAGGCCTCCAATTGGTTACACCCTATGAAGGATTGGCCTGAGACCAATCAGAGGCTGAAGTGGAGGCTTGGCCTGCAGTCAATCAGAAGCTGACGTGGAAACTTCTGTCTTGTTACCATAGGCCTGAACATGTGTCCTGTATGCTGCACAATCTTGCCTAGCATTGGCTGCACTTGCTGTTCTCTTGCTTATGGGAACTGACTGCACCTGCTATTCCTTTGCTTATGCCCAACCCTTGCCTGCCCTAATTCCCTATTCTCCTGTCTCACCTTTGTGCTGCCAAGCAATTTGGCCTTGAGACCTATGTTCTTGAGCCATAGTATTTCTTTCCTCTTTCCCTTCAATGTGCTTCACAGTGATGTGGGACAAACATCTAAAATGTTGATCATCAATACTTTTTTTTGAGATGGAGTTTCACTCTTGTCACCCAGGCTGGAGTGCACTGGTGCGATCGTGGCTCACTGCAACCTCTGCCTCCTGGGTTCAAGCGATTCTCCTGCCTCAGCCTCCTGAGTAGCTGGGACTGCAGACATGTGCCACCGCACCTGGCTAATCTTTTGTATTTTTAGTAGAGATGGGGTTTCACCATGTTAGCCAGGATGATCTGCCTCAGGTGATCTGCCCACCTCAGATCCCACCTCAAAGTGCTGGGATCATAGACATGAGGCACCACGCCTGGCTAATCATCACTACTTTAAGAAGATAAAAATTCTGATCAAAAGGGAGAAATGAAAGAGAAAAATAGCTCAGAGTAGTCAGAGCTATGTGAAGTATGCAAAATGTATCGGGCCCAGAGAGAAATGAGTATGGACTTCAATCACATGCATGCTCCCACCCATACCCAGGGGCAATTATTTGAAGACATTTTGCTCTTTCTTTTCTTCCCTGTAGTTTTCAGACTAGCTGCTTCACTTACTGTCTTCATGTTCCTGGAATTTCTTGATAAAAAGAACAATGTATAGCCAATGAATAGCTTGTATCATTTTACTGCAACTTCTCCGTAAACAACTTAGAAACTTGTCTCTTCTTTTCCTTTAAAAATTTACTTGCAACTGTTGCTAATCAGAGCATACATTCAGAGCAACTTGATTCTATGTTTCCAAGTCGCAGTGCTTAAACTTGGCCCAAATTAACTCTCTACTTACATTTTCAGTTTCTTCCCTTTAGATCAACATACTCCCAAGCCATTATACTGGGCCCTCTCTCCCAGCCAGACCTTGCCTTTTTCCCTTCCACCTGCAAATTGAAAATAAAATTCTAAGGCTCTCTCTACCCATCTCAATGGACCCCTCCTCTTGGACCAGTGCATTCCAAAGTTAACCTGAAAAACTAGTTCAGGCAATCGTGGGAAGTGAGGGTCTGATTCTTCATATATGCTCCACCCTTTTGGAATTTAGGAAAAGCTCACTAGCGTTAACATTAACACAGACCTTAAGTCTGATAAGAAACATTTGTAATCTATTCTACTTGGAGGCTTCACTGTATGATAAAACTTTTGTCTCTACAACCCCTTATTGTAACCTAGACATTCTTTTCTATTGATAATAACTCTCAACCAATTGCCAATCAAAAATGTTAAGATCTGCCTATAACCTTGAAGCCTCTGTTTTGAGATGTCCCACCCTTCCAGAGAATACATGTAAATCTTACATGTATTGATTGATATCTCATGTTTCCCTAAAATGTATAAAAGCAAGCTGTACCCTAACCACCTGGGGTGAGACTGTGTCGTGGGTGCATTCTTAACCTTGGCAAAATACGCTTTCTAAATTGAATGAGATTTTCTCAGATACTTTTGGGTTTGCACACCAAAGGCTGTCCTCAAGCCTTTGGAATCTCTCTTGAAGATTCATCTCCTAAGAAACCAGACCTTGTTGATCCTCATCTGGCTGTAATCACCTCATTTATTTCAAGATCCACTTTATCCTCTAGGCATAGAATTAAAGACTATAGGATCACAGAAATTTCTGGCTTAGAGGGTCATTCCAATCTTTATCGATATGGACCACAACTAACCAAGTGATTAGTCTCAGATCACATATGAATGACCTTAACCCACGTAGTTAAGGGACAAAGCGAAGTCTAGAACCCAAGTCTTTGAGTCCTTAGTTCAAGATTATTTTCACTACATGGAGGTCTATTATTTGTGCTCCTTTCCTCTATCTATATTCTCATGTTTTTTCAGAAGGCCCATCCTTCTCATTTCTTTTATTGCTGTTACCATAATTTTTGGCATCATAAAGAACATCATCACTTCAGCTGTTCCCAGAGCCCCCTACACAGTACAGTGGGGTACTCTATAACTATTACTGATGGTACAGCTTCTTAACTCTTTTATTCTATGCCAAGTGATTACACTTTTATTGCCCTGTGAGTATCAATCATCCAAGACTCAAGGAGACCAGAGTTGGTAGAATGAAAGAAGCATTGGTACTGATGCAAGAAATCCAATGCTTTATTTCAATTGTCAAAATACAACTTGCTGTACTGAAAGAGCAGGCAAGTTGGGACTATAGTGACCAAAGTATCAGGGAAGTTGACCCTGCCCTTGCCTATCAGAACTCACAGGAACCACTGAGTGTGAGGATGCTGGATTTCAGAAGGACCTGTTAATTGCTTACAGTGTGACCTACCCTAGCTATAATGCTCTGTGCAGCAACAAACTCCTGACTCTAGCTGGGCCAATCTGACTTGCTAATGGCAACTTAGAACTGAGGCCCAGAGGCCAGACGCGGTGGCTCAAGCCTGTAATCCCAGCACTTTGGGAGGCCGAGGTGGGTGGATCATGAGGTCAAGAGATCGAGACCATCCTGGTCAACATGGTGAAGCCCTGTCTCTACTAAAAATACAAAAAATTAGCTGGGCATGGTGGTGTGTGCCTGTAATCCCAGCTACTTGGGAGGCTGAGGCAGGAGAATTGCCTGAACCCAGGAGGTGGAGGTTGCGGTGAGCCGAGATCGCGCCATTGCACTCCAACCTGGGTAACAAGAGCGAAACTCTGTCTCAAAAAAAAAAAAAAAAGAACTGAGGCCCAGAAACACTGGGCCTTGTCCTGTAGGGGCTAGAATTGTGAAGTGATATAAGGCTAGTCATGCCTTGTGAAGCTCAGAAAGAGAGAGTGAAGGAGAACCTCAGAGAAGCAGAGATGAGAGGCCCCAAAGAGAGCAGTCATGGGTCCTGACTCCCACTCCAGCTCCCACCTTTCTGTGATCTATACAAAACCCAGCATCTACATAAGCCCTTCTTCTTTCTTTTTTCTGCTCCACTTGAACTAGTTGAGTGAGTTGCTTTTGCAACCAAGGAGTCTTAACTAAGACCCTCCCCTTCTCCACAGAGCTGAAAGATGAACCTGGCAGCTGTGCACAGCTGGAAGGTCAGGGAGCGGGTTGCCAAGAATTTGAAGGCGTTGTTTCCTTCTCTGTAGGAGATGGTGCTTGTCAGTCTGTGATTTTCTGTGAATTAGATCCCCTAATCACAGATATGCCTCTCTGCCCCCACCTCCCCACCGCAGATAAACACAGCAACCATTGCCAACCTTCAGCCTTCGCTGAACTTCATTTCCTCTCTTGCACTTGAGCCTAGAGGAGACTTGTTTGGCTGGGGACAGAAACAAGCTCAAAGCCTTGTTAATGTGAATCTGCCAGGCATGGTTGTGCATGCCTGTAATCCCAGCTACTCAGGAGGCTGAGGGAGGAGGATCCCTTGAGGCCAGGAGTTCAAGGCTACAATGAGCTATGATCACACCACTGCACTCCAGCCTGGATGACAGAGTGAGAGTCAAAACAAAACAAAATAAAACAAAAAGTCTTGTGAAGGTGAATCTAACTGGGCTTTGGCTTATCTTCTCTTTTTTGGGAGGTAGAAGGTTTTTGGAAGGTAGAAGGATGTATTGCATTGATTCCCCAAATTCAGACACTAACACACTGCCTTCATGATTTTTGGTATTTCTACATATCACTTGTACTATTATTTTCTTAGATTTTCTTATAAATAAATTAATTTATTTGCTGCTTCTTGCAGAGCAGGGCTAACTCATAGGCAGTGTACCCAGAGTCAGTGATTTTATTATTTTCTTGTCCTCACTTATGATATTTGTAAATGAAACCATGGCTTTGCAATGCACATATTTTTTTTCAAATATACATTAAAATGCAAAACTATTAAAATAATTTTTTTTTACCACCTAAAATCATTTCAGGTGTACCACCTTTGGAAACAATGTCACATAGGCTTTGGAATCAGGCAGGCCTGGTTCAGGTCTTGCTCTGCCTCTTAATACCCGTTTGTCTTTAGGCAAGCCACACTCTCTAACCTCCAATTTTGTCATAAGTGTGTCTTCCTTGGGATTTTGGTGATGGGTCAATCTGTGTGTATGTGTCTGTGTGTGTGTCTGTGCGTGTAGATGTGGGTCTCATTATGTTGCTCAGCCTGGTCTTGCACTCCTGGGCTCAAATGATCCTCCTGCCTTAGCCTCCCAAGTGCTGGGATTACAGATGTGAGCCACTGCACCCAGCCCTAGATGGGACGATTTAAAAACTGTATTTCAACTGCCTAGCACATGCCTAACACCAATAAGTACTCAGTCAATGTTAACCATTGTTGCTGTTCCTGCACTATTTCTTCACTTTGTCTGTTTCTCTATTTCCTTTCTTTCCTTTTCGGTCTGTTTGAAACAGGAACCAGCGTGAAATGGCTTTGCTTACTGGAGTATATGCAGTTTATATAAAGCTCTCAGGGACCAGGACAGAAAGGTAAGTGTGGAGCACCTGCTAGGACCAGTGTGTATAACAGAATCTAATGATGTGACTTGTTATCCATTCGTGCTTATGTGGCTGAGATAATAACATTTTTCTATAGAACCTGCATTACACGGTGTTCAAAGCCCGCATGGACATTATCTAGCTCATCTCTACTAAGTGTGGACAAAATCTTTTTCATTTTTCAGGGGGAGAAATCAAGACCCTAACAGAGGCCTGACCTGGTTACTCAGCAATGCTGTGGCAGAAACACACGCACGAGTTCCCGGCTTCTGATTCACAGGCCAAGATGTTGCCTTAGCATTCCCCATGTTGATTCAGAGAGTGGTAATGAAAGTGGGCAAAACAGTGATCCAAGCACAGGTAAATTTGTGAATACTAGATCAAACTAAGTTAAAATATGGGTTTTTTTTTTTTTTCTGTAGGGCTTCTTGGTCTTCCATAAGATTTTTAATTTTTTCATTAATTAATTAATTTATTTATTGAGATGAAGTCTCACTCTGTCACCATGCTTGGAGTACAGTGGGAAGATCTCAGCCACTACAACTTCTGCCTCCCGGGTTCAAGCAATTCTTCTGCCTCAGCCTCCCAAGTAGCTGGGATTACAGGTGTGCACTACCGTGCCCAGCTAATTTTTGTAATTTTAGTAGAGATGGGGTTTCGTCATGTTGGCCAGGATGGTCTCGATCTCTTGACCTCGTGATCTGCCCACCTCAGCCTCCCAAGGTGCTGGGATTACAGGTGTGAGCCACTGCACCCAGCCTTTCATAAGATAATATGCATTATGATTCTCCAAGAGAGAGAGCATATATTATTTTCCAAATTTGACCACAAAGTACTTAGAAACTCTAAAGATAGTGTCCCTCAGAGCACTAGTTTGGGAAATAGCATCTTAGTTGATCATATTGGTTTGAAAGCTACTCTTCTTATTTTTTTCTGTTATAAAAGAAAGCTGATTTTGGAATGTTAAAACAAAAACGAAAACAAACCCCATGTCTGAAAGCATTCTACCCCCATATCACCCTAGTCCACCCTGGAGACTAAGATTTCATTTCTGTATCACTTGCTGCTACTACATACCTGGGGAACTGCCTTCGATCACATGCCTACTAATGTGCAATATTTTAACTCTATTTGGTTCTTATTTTTTAAATTCATAATTTTTCCTTTTTTTTTAATTTCGAGGACTTAAAATAATACAAGAAAATAATAACTTCTAATTTTTAAAACGAAAGTATTGATAGAAAATTAGTGTTAAGCTGGGCGCGGTGGCTCATGCCTATAATCCCAGGACTTTGGGAGACTGAGGCGGGTGGATCACTTGAGGTTGGGAGTTCGAGACCAGCATAACCAACATGGAGAAACCCTGTCTCTACTAAAAATAAAAAATTAGCCGGGTGTCGTGGCACATGCCTGTAATCCCAGCTAACTCGGGAGGCTGAGGTAGGAGAATTGCTTGAAGCCAGGAGGCAGAGGTTGCAGTGAGCTGAGATTGTGCCATTGCACTTTAGCCTGGGCAACAAGAATGAAACTCCATCTCAAAAAAAAAAAAAGTTAGTGTTAGGGGAAATGTCCTATTAAACAGAAAGGAAACCAAGTCCCACAGAGGCCAGGTCACATGGCAGGACATTAACATGCACGCAACTAGAAGAGAAGTATCCTGTCTCTTGTCACAGACTGTTTTTCACTCCTGAAATGTTCCTTTGCTTTATTTTATAGGTGAGGTGTATTGCTGAGCCATTTGAATGATCTTGACTCTGTGTTTCTCATTTAGATATTTAATATAAAATACTGTGTGGGAAGAAAAGGAAGTCATGGAAGCATCTGTTTTACAAATATGAAGTAGATCCAAAGCTTCATATCCACAGGGAGCACTCCTTTATTATACCAGTGTGAGAGGTCAGGACCATTCCACGTTACAGGCTCACCCTGCTCACAGTCAGTGCGGAGGACCTGAAAAGGAGATGATGTGATAGAGGATTCACACTTTATCACTTTCGTTTTCTGAAGAGGTTTGAGATGGCTTAAATGAAGAACATGCATATCAGAATTGTTTAAGAGAAAGCAAACTGGGAAGCTGTCATACATACTGAACTCTGAGCTTCCTGGCAACCATAACAAAAAAGAAAGGTGGATGCCTTTCAGTTACTCACAATAAAAAAAGATTTTCAGTTGGGTGCAGTGGCTCACGCATGTAATCCCAGCACTTTGGGAGGCCGAGGCAGGCAGATCATGAGGTTTGAGACCATCCTGGCTAATATGGTGAAACCCCCAAAATACATACCAAAAATATTAGCCTGGCTTGGTGGCATGTGCTTGTAGTTTCAGCTACTAGGGAGGCTGAGGTAGGAGAATCGCTTGAACCCGGGAGGTAAAGTTGCAGTGAACAGAAATTGTGCCACTGCACTCCCGCCTGGGTGACAGAGCGGGACTTTGTCTCAAAAAAAATAAAAAATAAAAAATTTTCGGCTGGGCACAGTGGCTCATGCCTGTAATCCCAGCACTTTGGGAGGCTGAGGCAGGCGGATCACAAGGTCAGGAGTTCGAGACCAGCCTGACCAAAGTGGCGAAACCCCATTTCTACTAATACAAAATTTAGCCAGACCTGGTGGTGCACAGCTGTAATCCCAGCTACTCAGGAGGCTGAGAGGCAGGAGAATCACTTGAACCTGGGAGGTGGTGGTTAGAGTGAGTTGAGATTGTGCCACTGCACTCCAGCCTGGGCTACAGAGTGAGACTCTGTCTCAAAAAAACAAGCAGACAAAAAAAATTTTCTTGGAACAAAATTCCTAAAAAACACTTTTTTCTTACATAGAACCTTATTTTAGGGGCCATTGTACAATATATGGACAATGTCCCGGATAGTAGCTTTATAACAAATGCAGAAAATCTTCAATTTCCTTTTATAAGGTTGGATGGGAGTCAAGATTATTATAGCAAGGCCTAGTGGCTATAGCATTAGATTGGTCTTTAATGTGGTGGCTCACACCTGTAATCCAAGCACTTTGGAGGCCAAGGCGGGCGGATCACCTCCGGTTGGGAGTTCAAGATTGGTCTTTAATGAAGAGCAAGATACTTGTATTTCTAGGGCTGTATTTCCCCTTCTATGAAATGAATGCCATTTATTTGAGACAGGATCTTGCTCTGTTGCTCAGGTTGGAATGCAGTTGCACCATCAGAGCTCACTGTAGCCTCAACCTCTTGAGCTCAAGTGATCCTCCCACCTTAGTCTCTTGAGTAGCTGGGACTAAGGCAAGCACCACCATGCCTGGCTAATTTTTTTTTTTTTTTTTTTAGTAGAGATGAGGCTTCATTATGTTGCCTAGTCTGGTCTCAAACTCCTGGCCTCAAGCAATCCTCCTGCCTCAGCCTCCCAAAGTGCTGGGATTTCAGGTGTGAGCCATTGTTCCTGGCCCTATGAATGCCTTTTAGATCAAGGAGGAGGTGGGGAAGCCCATCAAATTCATCTGGGGAGCTTTTTCAAAATATATATGCCTTCAACATTACCCTCCATATCAAACGGCTGTTGGGAAAAATCATTCCAGAGGACTTTAATCTGGTTTTTTTTTTTGAGACAGAGTGTCACTCGGTTTCCCAGGCTGGAGTGCAGTGGCGCCATCTCAGCTCACTGCAACCTCCACCTCCCTAATTCAAGCAATTCTCGTGCCTCAGCCTCTTGAGTAGCTGGGATTACAGGTGTCTGCTACCACACTTGGCTAATGTTTGTATTTTTAGTAGAGATGGCGTTTCACCTTGTTGGCCAGGCTGGTCTTGAACTCCTGATCTCAGGCAATCTGCCCGCTTCAGCCTCCCAAAGTGCTGGGATTATAGGCATGAGCCACTGTGCCTGGCCAATATCAGAGTACTTTTAAAAAATGTTCACACACACAAAAAAACAAAAAACAAAAAAGAATGAGGGTAATATAAGACTCATGCACTCTCCATTCAAAATGAACAAATGTTAACACTTAGTCATATGTTCTCTAGACCTTAAAAATAAAAATAAGGAGCTGGGCGTGGTGGCTCACACCTGTAATCCCAGCACTTTGGGAGGCCAAGGCGGGCGGATTGCCTGAAATCAAGAGTTCCAGACCAGCCTGGCCAACAAGGTGAAACCCTGTCTCTACTAAACATACAAACATTACCTGGGTGTGGTGGCACGTGCCTGTAGTCCCAGTTACTTGGGAGGCTGAGGCAGGAGAATTGCTTGAACCCAGTGAGCTGAGATGGTGCCACTGCACTCCAGCCTGGCACCTGGCGACAGAGCAACACTCTGTCTCAAAAATAAATAAATAGATAAAAATAAAAATAAGGAATGCAACGTTACAGATAAAGTTGAAGTCCCGGTATCAGTGGGATGGGCTAGCTGTACTACAGTAACAAACATATACTCCCACAATTCTCGTGATGTAAGGAAACAGGTTATTTCTCAGTCATGCCTCATGTTCCCTGTTGGTCATTTGGAAACTGTTGTCCCCTGTCTTCACTCCAGGCCCCAGCTGATGAAGTGGACTGAAACGCTGAATCCTGAACACTGACGATCACTACAGCAAAGGGAGGAGCTCAGTAAGCTGCATATCGTTCTTAAACCTTCCACCCAAGAGTAACACTTCCGCTTCATTCTGTTGACCACAGTAAATCATATGGTTGTGCCTGACTTCAAAGAGTATAAGGACATACAATCCTACCATGTACTGGAAGGAAATCCAGAAGATTCTTAAAGAGACCTAATGACTCTCACAGTCCCAGAACTGCTTCCATCTCCCGCAGAAGCCGCCACGTGAATGTGATGTGTATCTAGACCCTATTTTATATTTTTACTACAAATACACTGTACTATAGATGGTATTCATTTGCATATTTTATAAAATATTGTTAATGGGATCATCCTTTTATAATATTCTACAATTTTTAGTCAATATTTTATTTTCAGGATTTATCAATGCTGAATCATAGATCTAATTCATTGATTTAAACTGTTACATGGAATTCCACATTAGGTAATTTATTTATCTCTTCTCCTACAAATGAACAAACTATTTCCAATTTCTTATTATTGCTAATAGTGAGGTATTATAAATGTGTTTGAGAGATTCCTTTGCAGTCTTTCTCAACTGGGTTTAACAAGACAAATTCTGGCCAGGCACGGTGGCTCATGCCTGTAGTCTTAGCACTTTGGGAGGTGGAGATGGGCGGATCATGAGGTTAGGAGTTTGAGACCAGCCTGACCAATATGGTGAAACCCCGTCTCTACTAAAAACACAAAAATTAGCTGAGTGTGGTGGTGGATGCCTGTAATCCCAACCGCTCAGGAGGTTGAGGCAGGAGAATCAGCTTGAGCCTGGGGGGTGGAGGTTGCAGTGAGCTGAGATGGTGCCATTGCCCTCCAGCCTGGGTGACAGAGAGAGACTCTGTCTCCTCAAAAAACAAAAAACAAAACAATACAAGGCAAACTCTAATGCCGTAATGCAACCACTGTATGTGATAACTTCTCCTATGCATCTGGAATGATGCTGGTTATGTACCATCCTTGGGAGTGTTGAGAAAATAATCATTCAAACAATTTTCTATGTACTATGGTTCAGAAGAAGAATTTCAGTTGAGAAAAGTTGCTTGGAATATGACTAGAAGTGGATTGCAAGGTCTTAGACTATGGACATGTTCAACTTTTCTAGATATTGTCAAATTATTCTCACAGATGACCTTGTCATTTATACTTCTGCCAGATGTGCATGACAGTTCTCATTTTCTTTTCTTTTTGAGATGGAGTCTCTGTTGCCCAGGTTGGAGTGCAATGGCACAGTCTCAGCTCACTGCAACCTCCACCTAATAGGTTCAAGTGATTCTCCTGCCTCAGCTTCCAGAGTAGCTGGGATTACAGGCTCCCACCACCACACCTGGCTAATTTTTGTATTTCTAGTAAAGACAGTGTTTCACCATATCGGCCAGGCTGGTCTTGAACTCCTGACCTTGCGATCTGCCCACCTCAGCCTCCCAATGTGCTGGGATTACAGGTGTAAGCCACCATGCCTGGCCTCATTTTTACACATCTTTGTCAACATTTGCTATTGTCAAACATTTTACTTTCCGGCCAGTTCCGTGGGTGTGAAATTGTATCCTATTGTTTTTAAACTGCATGTCCCTGGTTGCTAGTGAGTGGAGCCTTTTTTCCACATTTGGCCATTGAGTTTCTTTTTCTGCACAGTACTGTTTATATTCTTTGCCCATTTCTTTGCTGGGCTGTTTAGGTTTTTCCTATTGATTTTTAGTAGCTCTTTTTTTTTTTTTTTTGAGACAGAGTTTCACTCTTGTTGCCCAGGCTGGAGTGCAATCTTGGCTCAGTGCAACCTCTGCCTCCAGGGTTCAAGCGATTCTCCTGCCTCAGCCTCCCGAGTAGCTGGCATTATAGGCACGTGCCACCATGCCCAGCTAGTTTTTTTTTTTTTTGAGACGGAGTTTCGCTCTTGTTACCCAGGCTGGAGTGCAATGGTGCAATCTCGGCCCACCGCAACCTCCGCCTCCTTGCCTCAGCCTCCCAAGTAGCTGGGACTACAGGCATGTGCCACCATGCCCAGCTAATTTTTGTATTTTTAATAGAGACGGGGTTTCACCACGTTGACCAGGATGGTCTTGATCTCTTGACCTCGTGATCCACCTGCCTCGGCCTCCCAAAGTGCTGGGACTACAGGCATGAGCCACCGTGCTTGGCTCTTTAGTAGCTCTTTATACCTTTTGAATCTAACACTTTATCCATTTTGTCTGTTATACATGTGGCCATCTCCAGGTGATTCTGGTATATCCTTTCCGTACGTATCAACCACAATCACCAGCCATTCTTTCTGTCGTTGTTTATGAGACAGGATCTTCTCACCCTGTTGCCCAGGCTGGAGAACAGTGGTGATCTTGACTCACTGCAACCCCACCGCCCAGGCTCAAGCAATTCTCCTGCCTCAGCTCCCCAAGTGGCTGGGACTACAGGCACATGCCAGCACACCTGGCTAATTTTTGTATTTTTTGTAGAGACAAGGTTTTGCCATGTTGCCCAGATTGGTCTTGAACTTCTGAACTCAGGTGATCCACTTGCCTCGGCTTCCCAAAGTGCTAGGAATACAGGCGTGAGCCACTGCGCCTGGGCCACAGCCACCATTCTATCTCTAACATTTTATGTATCTGTGTCATGATTTTACATACATGTATATCTAAGCCTAGGACATTTTAAGCCAGATAGCGAGAGTTTTACTAAATATATTGATGTGGCTAGGTGCATTGGCTCACACTTGTAATCCCAACACTTTGGGAGGCCAAGGCAGGAGGATCACTTGAGCCCAGGATTTTGTCACCAGCCTAGGTGACATAGCAAGACGCTGTTTCTACAAAAAATAAAGCACACAGAAAACAAAAAAACTGTTTTAAATTAAAAAAAATTTGAAATGAAAAATATAGAGACTCATTTTATATATTCTTCTATCCCTAAGAAACCCCCTCTGTGAACGGAGGATGTATTCTGTACTTGCCTGAATTGCAAGGAATGTTTGAATGGCTAGATGTGGACAAGGTCTGTGTTGGGTTAAGCACAGTTATTGTCATCCAAAGATCAGCCAGTCCAAATACCCTTCTCACAGCGAACTTCTTCGACCTAGCAGGCAATGGAAGTGTTCAAAATAAGCTGACCAGCTCCTTAAATGAAACTGAATTTGTGGCTACTCTCTAACAGACCAAGGCTGAGCCAATCGTGCCCTATGCTCATGAATTGGCAGTAGTCTCTTGCAAAGGGACCATGAGCTGAAAAGACATTCTAAGTGCAAAAATAGTGTAGTAATTACAAGAGTAAGTGGAGAGTCATCATCATTATTAAAACATCATCATTATTGAAATAGACTAAGTGCAGGGGCGTTGGGATCATGACGTTATTTACGTTTTTTTTTCTCTTCTCTATTCTCCAAATCTTCTATAATGGACTTACGCTATATTAATAATTTAAAACTCATAATGAGAAGCAAAACCAAAATGTAACTCACTGTGATTATAAGGATTCTCAGTTTCTCAAGTAGGTGTTCGCCTCAAGCAGTAAAGGGGGTGGGGAAAAAATCCAAGGCAGAAAAGTATAAGGGTCTTTCCCATTTGCAAGCTTTTCAAAGTCAAGTTGAAAGTGCTAGAAAACTGCAGTTTTATGTAGAGAATGGGGAGGAAGTGGCCAAATGCTGTGACTGAAAAGTATAAAGAAGAACTGGTGATGGAAGGGGAGGAACAGAATGGACGAGGAAGGAACAGAGGCTTGGCTGAGTTCAAGGGTGTCCTGGAATAGTAGGTGTGTACGCCTGGGGGAGTAAGGCAGCAAGGAACAGAAGAAAGAATACAGGGGGATTTGATATCCAAGACTCCCCTGGAAGCTGCGGCTCTGCCCCTTGCTAGTGTTTGACCATGGGCTTGTGGCGCAGCCTGGTCTGTGAAATAAAGGGGTATGTAGAGTTGTCCTGTGACCCATGTGTAATGACATATAGGTGAACATTTGGGGAACATGGAGGTTCTGTCCTCAGGTTACTTAGTCTTAATGAGAAAAGGGCTTGACTTCAGCCTCTTGAAGAATGAGAAAAAAGAGAGAGCAAAGTGTGCCAGACAAGTGCTAGTAAAGAGGAGAAAAAGGAAAAAACCTCTAGGCCAGGACACAGCGTGAAGAGTGCATTCGAGAGAACAGCGTTAGAGCCCCCACACACGGGCCCAGCCACCGTGTCCCTTCCTCAATCATCATGAGTGACCTGGGGTCACGTGCATGCTGGGCTCCTCAGGAGACAGATCTGGGGGGACACTGTACATGCACTGTATATATCTAAAGTCTAATCATGTTATTTTAAAAAAGTTTTTTTTTTTAGAGACAAAGTCTTGCTCTGTCACCCAGGTTGGAGTGCAGTGGCATAATCATAGCTCACTATAATTTACCACACGCCCAGCTAATTATTTTTATTTGTTTTTTGTAGAGACGGGGTCTTGCTATGTTGCCCAGGCTGCTTTCAAACTCTTGGGCTCAAGCGATCCTCTTGCCTTGGCTTCCCGAAGTGCTGGGAGGGCAGGCCTGAGCCACCACACACGGCCTGTGATTTCTTGTTAAATCTTTTTGCACAGCATTGGGAGAGCTTGCCAGCAAAGGGCAGCAAGTCATCTAGAAAGATGCATTTTGATAGGTGGAAACTTAAAACCCAATGAGGAGGGATTTCTTTTTTTCCTGCCCCAATGGCCCTCACTTTCTGTGGCCTGAAGCTTGTGTCCCTCAGCTGCTTAAATTCTCCAAGACTCAGGGGCAAATCACTACCTTAATGTTCTCTCCCTCACACGTCTTGAAAGCTGAGGATTGTGTTTCGTGATTTTTTTCTCCCTAAGAGGTAGCTGTACTCTGTCTTCCTTTTAACCACAGTTTCCTAGAAAATAAGAACTGTGACAAACGAAAGGAGATGGGTACAGGAATAAGCCTTACAGAATTCTCTTCTCCCCCAGTTCCTCAGCCCCAGATCCCAGGGACCCTAACCATGGTTGCAGTTTTCATTGATGAATTAAGGCCTACAGAGAAAATCTAAATCGCAGTAACCTAAATTTGCCTCTTGGCTTAGAAATCCCAGCTTTAGGAAAAGCCTACCTGTCAGGTTCTTTCCTCATTTCACTGTTGAGGTAGCTCTTGTGAGCTTTATTTTATGAATGCGGCTCCTCAGACCTAGAGAGATTAAGTCAATTTCCCAAAGTCTGCAGTGGTGTATAGTAACATTTTTAACATTACCTTCTGAAGCAGCTTTTTTTTTTTTTTTTTTTTTAAGATGGGGTTTCACCACGATGGCCAGGCTGGTCTTGAACTCTTGATCTCAGGTGATCCACCCACCTTGGCCTCCCAAAGTGCTAGGATTACAGGCGTGAGCCACCGCGCCCAGCCATTTTTTTTTTTTTTTTTTTTTTTTTACAACAGAGTCTCACTCCGTCACCAGGTGCCAGGTTGGAGTGCAGTGGCGCAACCTCGGCTCACTGCAACCTCTGCCTCCCGGGTTCAAGCAATTCTCCTGCATCAGTCTCCAGAACTGGGGAGTAGCTGGGACTACAGGCGCACGCCATCACGCCCAGCCAATTTTTTTGTATTTTTAGTAGAGACAGGGTTTCACCATGTTGGCCAGGATGGTCTCGATTTCTTGATCTCGTGATCCGCCCGCCTCAACCTCCCAAAGTTCTGGGATTACAGGCGTGAGCCACTGCGCCCGGCCGGAACTGGCTCTTTTTTACACATAATTCAGTGATTGCCAAGGAGGACGGGAATGCACACCCCTATAATTCTTTTTTTTTTTTTTTTTGAGACGGAGTCTTGCTCTGTCGCCAGGCTAGAGTGTAGTGGCCTGATCTCGGCTCACTGCAACTTCTGCTTCCTGGGTTCAAGCGTTTCTCCTGCCTCAGCCTCCTGAGTAGCTGGAACTACAGGTGCCACCACGCCCAGCTAATTTTTGTATTTTTAGTAGAGACGGGGTATCACCATGTTGGTCAGGATGGTCTCCGTCTCTTGATCTTGTGATCCACCCACCTTGGCCTCCCAAAGTGTTGGGATTACAGGTGGGAACCACTGCAACAGGCCTTTTTTTTTTGAGATGAAGTCTCGCCCTGTCACCCAGGCTGGGGTGCAATGGTGTGATCTCGGCTCACTGCAACGTCCGCCTCCCAGGTTCAAGCGATTCTCCTGCCTCAGCCTCCTGAGTAGCTGGTATTACACGGCCAGCTAATTTTTGTATTTTTAGTAGAGACGGGGTTTCACCATGTTGCTTAGGCTGGTCTCGAACTCCTGACCTCATGATCTGCCCACCTTGGCCTCCCAAAGCGCTAGGATTACAGGTGTGAGCCACCACACCCAGACCGAGATGTTTATATTCTATTTATCAGACAGAGGATGTGGATTAAATACAGCAGCCTAGCCTTTGCTAAGTCTCCACTGGCAACATGCTCCATCTTCGACCCATTCACATTTTGTATTTAATCTAATCTTGTCATGAAATTCTCGGTGCTCTGTCATTTATGACTTCACTCTTTCTCATAAATAGTAATAGTTTTTCCCCTATATTTAATAAAAGGGGAAGAAAAACACTCGTGATATAAAATGGAAAAGAATGCAATATAAGATTTTATGGGCTGGGTGCAGTGGCTCACACCTGTAATCCCAGCACTTTGGGAGGCTGAGGTGGGTGGATCACGAGGTCAGGAGTTCAAAACCAGTCTGGCCAACATGGTGAAACCCCGACTCTACTAAACATACAAAAATTAGCCAGGCATGGTGGCGGGTGCCTATACTCCCAGCTACTTAGGAGGTTGAGGCAGGGGAATCGCTTGAACTTGGGAGGCAGAGGTTGCAGTGAGCCAAGATCACACCACTGCACTCCAGCCTGGGTGACAGAGCAAAACTCAGTCTCAGAAAAAACAAACAAACAGATTTTAGGTATAGTATAATCTCAACTTTATTAATAATTTTTAAATTAGTTTATAAAAGTTAGTGTGAGAGGGAATGTACTATAATGGAAGAAGCCAGGAAGCCTCCGGTGTGGATATTGCCTCTGCACTGACTAGCTGTATGAACTTGGGCAAGCTGCTTAAACTCTCTGAGCCCCAGTTGTTTTATCTGCAAAAATGGGGAGGGAGACGAATTGTATTTATATCAGAGAAGCTGAATTAAATTACAACTAATTAAATGAAATACTTGACACGCAGAGAACCTGCAATAAATGAGCTTATTATTCTGAGTAGAGAATACAAAGAGCCTGCTTCATGGGCACGTGACAACACAGCCAGACAGGGCTCCTGATTCAATGCTCTGCTGTTGCATTCTTTTTTTTTTTTTTTTGAGACGGAGTTTCGCTCTTGTTACCCAGGCTGGAGTGCAATGGCGCGATCTCGGCTCACCGCAACCTCCACTTCCTGAGTTCAAACAATTCTCCTGCCTCAGCCTCCCGAGTAGCTGAGACTACAGGCACGTACCACCATGCCCAGCTAATTTTTTGTGTGTGTTTTTAGTAGAGACAGGGTTTCACCATGTTGACCAGGATGGTCTCGATCTCTTGATCGTGATCCACCCGCCTCGGCCTCCCAAAGTGCTGGGATTACAGGCTTGAGCCACTGCGCTCGGCCCTGCTGTTGCCTTCTTGAAGTTCTTCATCTTTGGGAACAAGGAGCCCTAGGTTTTCATTTTGCACTGGGCTCTGCAAATTATACACATGCACAGCATACACACACGGAAAAGATGTAAAAGCAATATACCAATGACATCAAATGGTTTTTTGTTTTTGTTTTTGGGACAGTCTTGCTCTGTTGCCCAGGCTGGAGTGCAGTGGTATGATCTCGGGTCGCTGCAACCTCCACCTCCCGGGTTCAAGTGATTCTTCTGCCTCAGCCTCCCGAGTGGCTGGGATGCCCGCCACCAAGCCTGGCTAATTTCTGTATTTTTAGTACAGGCAGGGTTTCACTGTGTTGGCGAGGCTGGTCTTGAATTCCTGACCTCAAATGATCTACCCACCTTGGCCTCCCAAAGTGCTGGGATTATAGGTGTGAGCCACAGTGCTCGACCTACATCAAATGTTTTTGGGGTTTGTTTTTCTTTTTTTTTGAGACGGAGTTTTGCTTTTGTTGCCCAGGCTGGAGTGCCATGGCATGATCTCGGCTCACTGCAACCTCTGCCTCCTGGGTTCAAGCAATTATCCTGCCTCAGCCTCCCGAGTAGTTGGAATTACAGGCGCGTGCCACCATGCGCAGCTAATTTTTGTATTTTTGGTGGCGACGAGGTTTCACCACATTGACCAGGATGGTCTCTATTTCTTGACCTCGTGATCCACCGCCTTGGCCTCCCAAAGCGCTGAGT